GACTGCAAGCCTCCGGCCAGCCCGAGGCCCAGCCCTGCCCCGCCCGGCCGGGGCTCCACCCAAGTGCGGTCTTCCCAATAAAAGCTGGAATTCCCGGCTGGGCTCAGACAAAGGGGGACCGCGGCAAATCGACGCCGCAGGCAAACTAAACCCTAGCCGGAGTTTACATGCGCGTCTGGGGTCACCCAGGCGCCTGCTAATCCACCCTACACTGGCCAGCCGGCACGGTGTCCCCCAGCAAAAACAAACAAACAAACAAACAAACAAACACAACAGACCCAAATAAAAGCATGCCTGCTGCCTTCCCTTTAATTCCTCCCAGGAGCCACACGTTTTTCCATTGGTCTTTCCCAGTCTGCCAGGCTCTGCCTCACCTTAGCCAACAGGCCCCAGCAGTGCCACATCCATTCCTGTAGGCCAGAGTGGCAAGCTATCCCCCTTTCCTCCACCATCCGGCCATTCAAGGTGAACTTCAAATCTCTTTGGAATCCCTCCTACCTGCTCCGCACACACCCTCACCTCCTCTTGTATTAGACAAGAGACTCCATCCTTTGGGAGCTGCTCTGCCCCTGGTTCCTTCCAGCCAGAAACACTATTCCCTTGTGAATGTGCGTGTGAATGTGGTTGTGTGGCCTGCACTTTTGTATCCACATTGGTCTCACTGGGCAGGAAAGTCTCCGTCAGGCATTGAGGGTGTTTGGTCATTCAGCCTGTGCATCTAAGCATGGGTGTATGCATACGAATGCTTTTTGTGTTTCCAAGTGACCCTCCTCACACCTTGAAATGGACTTTTGTTTCTGGAACCCACTTACTGAAATTCTGCCCCAGTTTCCAGCTCAACAAAGTTGGACTTTTCTTAGAACATCGCCATACATCTTTGCATTTGCACACCCATATTTACATTTCTCTTGGCCCGTTCTTTATCTCTTATGGATCTCTTGTTCCATTTGGACATTGGAGTCCCAAGTGTCTTGATTTGTCTCAGCACCTGTCATTCAGGCACATGTCTTAATCTGAGCATTCCTGTTCAACATACGTCTCCTTATACTACTTATGTTTTTCTTGCTTTGCCTTATATGTGGCTCATGCCCAGGACCAGCCAGTATGGGTTTACCATTTAAAAGTAAATAGACAATCCCTAGACCACAAACCCTTAAAAGAAAGGTAGGGGAGAAGAGCGTAGAATTAGTAGCAAGTTATTGATGTATAGGGTCACACAACTACCAATTAATTTCAGACTCTGGAAAGAACTAGACTAATGTGTGCAAAGTTGGATTAAATTTTCAGACCAATTCACTATTAGCACCATATGTGTATACAAATGATGGATCTTCTAACAACACATCAGTGTCCAGCCCTACTTGTATTCGCAGTCTGACTCTCTTGCATACAAGTTCACAGTTAAAAGTGTTTATTTATACGGACAACTCAAAGACCCCCCCTGCTCTCTCAGGGCATACCTGTACATTCTGGCCTGGCATTTCAGGCTCAGGTTCTTAGTCTGCAGCGCTCAGTCAGAGGCCCCACCCTACTAGAGCTCTGTGCAGACCATCCCTCACTTGAATGCCAGCAAAAATTCTCTCTTGGGAACATTGAGGTGTACACATCTGCATCTCCCAAACTCAGTTCCTTAATCGAGGGTGCCCATTGTGTGTGTTCACAGCTCCCCCACTGACAAGTATCCGGTCAAGCTAGATCATTTAGCAGCTGCATTTGGTTTGTATTAAGATATAGAGGATGCACCAGGATGTGTCCATGCACACACAGAACAGAAAGGAAAACCCTAGGCCTAGATTCCTGACTCCTTTCCCCTGGGGGGCTACTCGGCCTCCAAGAATTTCTACTCGACTCTTTGCTTTGCACCCTTTCCCCGACTCTTTGCTTTGCACCCCTTCCCCATTACACTACCTCTACCCACCTTAAAGGGTTAAGACAAGCGGGGGGGGGGCAGCCTTCCTTCCACCCAGCTCTCTGGGCCCGCAGGCTAGCTCGCTCACTCGCTGCTCGCGGGAGTCTGCAGCCGTCTCCGCGTCCCCCCCCCCGCCCCCGTCCTTCAGCCGGGAGGGAGCCTGCATGCCTGTCTAGACCGATCTATCACCGGCACACCAACAACACCCGCGAGAGCGCGGAGACCCTGCCCAGGTCCCCCGGCCCGCACGGTTCACGGCGGACAGACTCCGGGGAGCGTGACGGAGCCTGCGGGGTGGGGGTGGGGGACTACAGACGCTGGCCGCCCAGAGCGCCCGGCGGGTGCTCCCCAGCTCCTGCCCCCCGCGCTCCCACCAGCCCGGCTGCCGGGGCACAGTCACAGCTCTGCGCGCTGGGCAGTCCTATTTTTATCTTGTCTAATCCCAAACTGGGCGGGGAGCACAGGCGTCGTGCTTAGAGAACAAGAGATAGGCGAGGGAGGCGGGGAGGAGCAGCCAGGCAGCGACGCGAGCGGGAGCGAGTTAAAGACACAGAGGAGGCGACCGTGAGCAGGAAGAAAGAGCGGGCTGCGCGGGCCTCGCGGCGCCGCACGCAACGCGCCGCCCGGCGAAGTTACACTCGCCTCCCTGCGGTCCCTAGCTGCCCGCCCCTCCCCACTTCCCAGCGCCGCTCTCCGCAGCCAGGACCGCGGGGCCCCGGCCTGTGTGGGAGGCGGAGGCCAGGCCGGCCCTGCAAAGGGCTGGAGAGAATCGCTAATGAGCTGTGCGGCCCATTGATCCAGAGAACACTTCCTAATTAACTCTCAGTCACCTACTGGTGACAGCGCCTCAAAGGACAGCGTTGGGGCCGGCCAAGCCCCAGCCCCGACCTGGCGGCGGAGCGCCCAGCGCCCGAAACCCGCGCGCTCCCCTAACCACCCTGGGCAATTTGCGTGCGTGGCGGTGTGTACCCGCACGCCGAAGGCCAGCCTCGGATTAGACCTGGACGGCATATTAATCATAGTTTACCCCCCACTTCCTCTACGCGGTGAAATCGTGCCCAAAATAAACATTAGAATCTACACTGCAAAGCCCAGACCAGACCAGATAACAGGTCGGGGGCGGAGTGGGAAGGGTCGAAAAGGGAGCATATCCTTCAAGTGTCCATGCACAGGAGCCTGAGGCTGACAATTAAAATGCCTTCCACACAAGCAGTTCTGTTGGCAAAACCGAATCCAACACCTCTTAAGGGTAGATTTCGGTCCGCGGTGTCCGTTTCCAGTGCCACAGGAAGTGTCAGATGGCTAGAAATACCCAAGTCTGTCTGCGCTCACCACCCACCACCTTCTGGGGTGGGCCATTTCCTCCTCATTTTTACTCCCAGGCTTTTTAAAGGGTTTTTCTCCAAGGGGTTACCCCCAGAACCAAACACCAGTACCCCTCTTTCTTCTCCCCTAGTCCCCTCTCCAGAAGGGGAGGAAAAACAGCCACAATGCTAAACCAGGAGCTGTCTAGTCTAGACGCAGTGAGGCTGTGCGAATACCTATTTGAAGCGCGTTGGTTTCTTTTTAAGGTTTGTTTTTAAATACACATAACCCTCCTTCCTCAGTCGCTCTTCCATTCCCCCAACCCCCACACTCTAGACGCCGGCGGCGCGCGTCCCCGTGCGCGGGCACTCACAGTCTCTAGCTGGAGACCGCGGACTTTCTGGAAAAGATTCATTAACAGCAAATTAAGCCTCACCCGGCCTCGGCCTACACGCGGCCAGGCACCGCAGTCTTCGGGACCCGGGTACGTGCCCCTCCAGCGTTCGGGCGGCGGGAAGCCCGCCGGGACCACGCGTGCCTCGAGCAGACCTACTCCGCACACGGCGCCCCGAGGCTCCTTTCGTAAACAGCAGGCGCTCGCCGCCGCCGCCCCGAGCCCCCGAGTTGGCTGAGGCTCTGCGGCGCAGCCTCCCGCCCGCTCCAAGCGCGGGCCCCGCGGCGCCTCGCCCTCCCCGCCTCAACCGAGGATCGCACCCGGTGCGCAAGTTCCTCTTCGCGCTGAGCCTCCGCGCCGCACGCCCTCCGAGTGGGACCAACTTCCTCCGGCAGCAGACTTTCACACGCCCATCAGCGCTTCCCACCAGACTCCCCACTGCCCAGCGGAGGGCCAGGTCTCCCCGCCCCCCCCGCCGCCCGCACACAGGCACATTCTACACCACCCACCCCTGGGGGCTCATAACTTCAACCTAGCCCACGACGCCTCGGCGAGGGTGGAGGCGGCAGGGGGCCGCGGATTACAATTTTAAAAGAACATTTACAAAACAAAGCGTCTGACCTGGCGGGCCGACCGGCCGAGTGGGAACCCCTGGCTCTGCACAATTTCCTAGTAGTTTTTTTTTTTTTTTTTAATCCACGTGATCCGAGCTTTGGGGCAAGCCAAAAAAAAAAAAAACCGGGACTCCCCTCCCGAGTTGCGCGGCGGCGACAGGTCGAGCTCGACTCGGCCAGAGGCGCCCGCCACACACACCCTTGCGCACGCACACGCCGTCGTTCCACTAGGAAGAACGATCGGCCCCCGGAGAGGCGAGACCAGGCGGCGGAGGCTGGGGGTTTTTACAGTTCTTTCCCGAGTCGAAAAAGAAAGCAGACGGGAACCCGCCGCCCTCCCCTTCCTGCTCTCGAGCTAACGCCGAGCCGAGCTTCCCAGCTTCCAGCCCAGTTCCCCCCCTTCACCCGACAAGCGGCGCTCAGCGGCGACCGCGCTCCCGCGCAGACACACACAGGCTGCAAACTTCCACTCTGCGAACTCCCTGCTCTCCTCCCAGCCCCCCGGGAGGCGGCAGGCCCCCAGCTGCGCCCTCCCTCCCCGTTGCCTACGCGGGGCCGCTTAGGTTGGCTGCATTTCTAATAACTTACAGCTATGAAATAAAAACGAAAGCGAGCAATGAAGCTAAGGGAAAGCGCGAGGCAAAAGGTTCGCGGGGTACGCGAGAGTCGGAGAAGAAACCCGCGACCGGCGGGGGCCCCAGGGGAGGGGGCCGACTGCAGCCCGTGGCGCGCCAGCCCGCCCGCGGCCTCCCTGGGGAAAGGTGTTCCGGGCACTGACCTGAAATCCCCAGTCGGGGAGTAGGCAGGGAGCCTGCGATCCGGCGCTTTGAAGTTTTTCCCGGAGCAGAGTCGAGGCGGCAAGGAGGAGCGGGGGTCGGCTGGGTGGCTGGGAAGTGGTGTGCGGGGCTGGGGGTTGGCGACGCTAGGGAGCGGAGAAGGAGCCGGGCCGGGGAAGCGCAGCGAGCAGCAAAGTTTGCCGTCCCCGGCTGCCCGCAGCCCGCTC